GATTTCAGTTGCCTTAAATTTCTTAAGGCCTGTTATTTGGCCTAATATGTTATCTGTCTTGGAGAATGTTTCATGTGTGCTGGAGAAGAATGGAGAAGAATATGTATTCTGCTGCTGTTGGGTGCGATGCTCTGTATACATCTGATAGGTCCGTTTGGTCTAAAGTAAAATTCAATTCCAGTGTTTCCTTATTGATTTTCTGCTGAATAAGTTGTCCTTTGTTGAAAGTAGGATTTGAAGTCCCCTTCTGTTATTGTATTGCAGTCTATTTGTCCCTTCAGATCTTGTAATGTGTGCTTTATATATTTACCTGATCCGATGTTGGGTACATACGTATTTACAATTGATACATTTTCTTCATTAATTGATCCCTTTATAATTCTATAATGACTTTCTTTGGCTTTTCTTATAGCTTTTGACTGAAATTCTATTTTGTCTGATATACGTACAGTTGACCCTTGAACAACATGGAGCTGGGGCAACAACCCACCATGCAGTCAAAACTCCACGTTTAACTTTTGACTCCCTAAATATTTACTAGCCTACTGTTGAATGGAAGCCTTATTGATTACATAAAGTCGATTAACACATATAAAGAATGGTATATGTGTTATATGCAATACTCCTACAATAAAGTAAGCTAGAGAAAAGAAAATGTTATTAGGAAAATATGCCGGGCGCAGTGGCTCATGCCTGTAATAGCAGCTATTATAGCAGCCAAAACGGACTAAGACAACTGTATTGCTGAGACACAGTGAAAGGTCATTCAACATCAGGGGGTGGCATCTTAAGTCCTAGAAGTCAGAAGTCTAAAGTGGGTCTCACTGGGCTAAAACCAACAAGTTGAAGACTATGTTGCTTTTTGGAGGCTCTAGGAGGAATTCTCTTTCAGGCTTTTCCCAGCTTTTAGAGGCTGCCCAGACTCCTTAGCTCCTGACCCCATCCTGCTTTTTTTTTTTTTCTTTTTTTTGATACAGAGTCTCACTCACTCTGTTGCCCAGGCTGAAGTGCAGTGGCACCATCTCAGCTCACTGCAACCTCCACCTCCCAGATTCAAGCAATTCTTCTGCCTCAGCATCCTGAGTAGCTGGGATTATAGGCGTGCACCACCATGCTCGGCTAATTTTTGTATTTTTTTAGCAGATGGGGTTTCATCATGTTTACCAGGCTGGTCTCGAACTCTTGACCTCAAGTGATCCACCCACCTCGGCCTCCCAAATGCTGGGATTACAGGTGTGAACCACTGCGCCCAGCCCCATCCTACACCTTTAAACCCAGAAAAGACAAATCAGGTTCTTCTTCTATCACCTCAGTCCCCACCTGTTTCTGTCATCACATGTTTCTCTTCTTCGGAACTCCCTCATCTACTTTTAAGGAACTTTGTAATTGCACCAGGCCCACCTGGATAATTCAGGGTACTCTCCCTGTCTGAAGGGTGGCTGGTTAGCACCCTTTTAAGTCCATCTGCAACCTTATTTATCTTGCCTTGTAACATAACATATTCCCAGCTTCCAGATGTAGGATGTGGATATATTCTGCCGGTAACAGGCCTGTCCATCAAACTTTCCTGAATAACTAGAATGTACCCACTCCCCTACAACAATGGTCCTTTTTCCTTGCTAATCTTTTTTTAAATTTGGGGCTCCCTATAATTATGTACTTTATAATGGGATTAATGAAAGCCTGTATCAAAAAAAAAAAATTATTCCCCTGAAAGCACACAAAGAGGAAACTAAAAATTACCCTTATTTATTTATTTATTTATTTATTTATTTATTTATTGAGACAGAGTCTTGCTTTTATCACCCAGGCTGGAGTGCAATGGCGCAAGCTCGGCTCACTGCAACCTCTGCCTCCTGGGTTCAAGTGATCTCCTGCCTCAGCCTCCTGAGTAGCTGGGATTACAGGTGTCTGCCACCACATTCAGCTAATTTTTGTGTTTTTAGTAGAGATGGGGTTTCGCCATGTTGGCCAAGGCTGGTCTCGAACTCCTGACCTCAAGTGATCTACCCGCCTTAGCCTCTCAAAGTACTGGGATTACAGGTGTGAGCCACTGTCCGGCTGTAATTACCCATATTTATAGCATCCAAAGATAATTCCTGTTAACACTTAGTATGTATGTTTATTGTCTTCCCCTCCACCTCTAAGAATGTGTGTGTTTTGTTTCTGGAACATTGAATCCTATTAATCATGTAAATGAGGCAAAAACTCTCCAAATCATAGTTTGTAAAAGAAATCCAGCCCAGCCATGGGTCACATTATGTCTGTGTGCATGTGGAGAGAGGAGAGATGCCAGTCATGTTTCCTTGCTTTGAAAAATTAATCATTGATGAATATGAAAATACTCACTGGATACCTTACAAATATGGACTTTGGAAACATTCCCAAGGTTATATGTGCAAGTGACAAATATTGACTGTAACATTTCAAAGGTATATGAAATAAAATTAGATAGCAGTAGTTTAAAATGTTCTTTTTTTTTTTTTTTTTTTTTTTTGAGACAGAGTCTTACTCTGTCACCCAGGCTGGAGTGCAGTGGCACAATCTTGGCTCACTACAACCTCTGCCTCCCAGGTTCAAGCGATTCTCCTGACTCAGCCTCCTGAGAAACTGGGATTACAGGGACCCATCACCATGCCCGGCTAACTTTTGTATTTTCAGTAGAGACAAGGGTTCACTATGTTGCCCAGGTTGGTCTTGAACTCCCGACCTCAAGTGATCTGCCCACCTCAGCTTCCCAAAGTGCTGGGATCACAGACCTGAGCCACTGCGCCCAGCTGATAAGAATCTTTAAACTAGATTTTTAAAGGAACTATCATGTCTCTGTCTCCCTAATTAAAAGGAAATAGCAGACTTGTTACTTTTATGAAAATGGATTGAGATACGTTGTTGATTTTTGATAATAACAGCTACCTTATCTTAATTGTTATATATGACTGTGTGTTTCATGTAGATGATGCTATTCAAACAATCATACATTGTACTATCTTTCTTGCAGTTTTACCAGTGAGGAAATTTTACCACACTGTGAAGTTAATAACTATCAGAGCTCAGATTAATACCCTCAAATCAGACCACAGAGCCTGTGTTAATTTCACCAAACCATCTCTGCTCAAATTATATGTACCTTTCTAACCTACCCTTTTCACTTGTTGATTCATCAGAACTTTTCTCAATTAATGTCAGTATTATTAGGAAATGTAGTATATGTGTCATTGTATAACAGACCATGATTTAATCTGATTTTCCTTTACCCTCCACTGCAAGATTTTCATTTTTAAAAATTATTCTCTACCGGGTGCGGTGGCTCACGCCTGTAATCCCAGCACTTTGTGAGGCCGAGGTGGGCGGATCACCTGAGATCGGGAGTTCGGGACCAGCCTGACCAACATGGAGAAACCCCGTCTCTTAAAAATACAAAAAAAAAAAAAAAAAAAAAAAAAATTAGCCGGGCGTGGTGGCGCATGCCTATCATCCCAGCTACTAGGGAGGTTGAGGCAGGAGAATCGCTTGAACCCGGGAGGCGGAGGTTGCGGTGAGCCGAGATGGCACCGTTGACTTGAGCCTGGGCAACAAGAACGAAACTCCTTCTCAAAACAAACAAACAAAACATTATTCTCTAGAAATTCTGGGTAACGTCAGTGGATTACATCAATGTTAACCTTCCGGTTGTGGTATTATATACTACAATCACCAGCCGGGGTAACCAGGTGAAAGATACACAAGATCTCTCAATTTTATTTCTTGTAACTACATATGAATCTAAAGTCTATCTAATTAAAAGAGAAAAACATTTTCAGAAAAAAAGTATTTTGTGAATATACTTCAACATTGTGTACGACTATAGCTACTTCCTTGGCATAAATACCAAAAAGTGGGATTTTGAGTCAAAATGAGGCTGTGGTTAAGTACCTGTAACATCCTGTAGACCCTGTGACATTAGTACTTGGAATGAGAGCGTGACTAACCGGGCATAACTGTGGCCTGCACATTGTTTACAATCCAGCAAGCAAGAGACACCGAAAAGCAGCTCGGGCAGCCTGTGCTAGCTGGTGGCCTGCAGAGAATTCCAGGTGATGCTCCAGAGGGCCTAGGAGAGGATACCCTTCCGAGGACAGCCATGGCTCGCCCGGCATCACCCCACTCAGAGGCCAGACGGGGTCCCAGCTGGGGTGACACAGCCCGTCTCCCAGTCGGGAAGGGGCGTCTGCAGGGAGCAAGATGGACTCAGTGTGAGGCTGCCTGCCTGGAACGCGCCCCGAGGCCCTTGCCTGGGACCGTCCCGGACTACGTTTCCCAGAGATCATCCAGGAGTACGCCGTGCTGCATGCTGGGACATGGGGCCTGGGGCTCTGGTCCCGCGTCCTCCTCTAGCCTCACCCCCCGCCCCAAGACCCCAGCACTGGGGGACCACTGGGTGCGTCTGCTGCTTTGGGAGAGGCGGAGGAGGGAAAGAGATGGGAGGGGTGCACACACACGTCTCAGTGTGTCCGCGTGTCAGAGTCTGTGCACGCGCACATGTGTGTCGGGCTCTGTTGTGGCTGCACATGCGTGTCGGGCTCCATGCACACATGCGTGTCGGCGTCTGTGCATGCGCACACGCCTGTCGGGGTCTGTGTGCCCGCACAGGCACCGCAACGGCTGAGCACACTATGTATCGGGGGTCTGTCGTCGCTCACATACGTGTAGGGGTCTGTGCACACATGCGTGTCCGGCTCTGCTGCTGCTTGCGCGCTCCGGCAGCTCAAAGCGCGAGGCCCCGCCTGGGTCCGGGGTGCGCATGCGCGCTGGCCTCCATGGGTGGCGGGACCCAGTGTGTGACGCACTTGCGTGGGAGTACGAGGCTGACGCTGCGGCCCTGTCCCCGTAACTGTGACACGGGTGCACGCGAGCGTCATTGGGGGCAATGGGGGGCGTGCTCGGTGCGTGTTTGCACCAGTGACGCAACCGCTGCATCTCCGCTAGTCCGCGCAGGTGAGATTGGCGCCCATGGCTCCCAGGGGAGACGGGCACTGAGCTTCTGACGGTGACGCACTTGCTGGAGAGTGTGGGGTGACACAGCCGGGCTCGCCCCATAACTGGTGACCGGGGGTGCCCCAGAGGCTTTGGGTCGACGGAGCCCACACCTGTGAACCTCGGCAGTGCGTCCCGGGGACTCTGCTCTGTGAGGTGCACTCTGGGGGTTGTGTGGGGCGGCGGTCAGGACGGGTCTCCGTGGCCCATGGATGCACCTTTGCACTGTGTGGGGTGGCGGGGCCCACAGCGTGGCTCTGCTGGGCGTTAGTGTGTATGAGGGGCGCAGATGGGTCTCGGGATAGCGTGTGCTGTGGTGAGGCTGAGCCGTCCGTGCAGGCTTGTGCTGGGATGGGTGATCGGGCCTTCTGGGTGACGCAGGTGTGTGTGACAGCGCAACCTGTGGCTCCAGCGCCTCTACTGCTTCACCTCCTAACCAAGTGGTACCTGCCTGAGAACAAGGGCCGCAGAGGGACGTGAGTGCCTGAGCCTCGCCGGGAAATTCACCAACAACAAGGCAGAAACAGCCATGAGGTGACGCTTTCAGAGCCAGAAGTGCTCTCCATGCAGGCCTCATGAGTGACGAGATGGTGGCCTCAGGAGTAGAATTCCTCCTATAGAGGAACACGTGCCTGATGTGGGAGACAGGGGGAGGGGCAGCTCCACGCTTCATCATCTCAGTCATCTCAGCTTGCTCTTCAGGAATCTCCCAGAAACTCCATCTCGGGGCCTTGTATTTCTCTTTGGTTTTATTAGATATGGCAGGTGTTACCCTTCTGGTTCTGTTTCCCCCAGGCCAGCATCCTTCAGGAAAAGCATCCCCGAGGAGGAAGACAAATCATTAAACATCCTAAAGGGTCAGGTGAGTATCCTTTTTTTTTTTTTTAATTAAATGATATGTGTTTATAAGACTTAAGACCAAACATTAAATGTAGATGACCAAGATCTGAGTCCTGTTTCTGCCTGTTAGCTTTTTGAGCCTTCTGAAGATAGGCTTGTGAGGAGGGTGAAATGCGTTAGCATGTGTAGAACCATAGACCCGCACGCTGGAGTGTGAGTGCGCAGTGAGTGCTGCTGTTATGTGATGTCTGTACATGAGGAGCAACGTACATATGAAGGTAACTGAGATGGGTGTTTGCAAGTTCACAAAATGAACCACAGCCTCAAATGGTCTAGAACTATTCTCCTTAAACTAAGGGCCTTCCATCAAGTGAACCACAACCTCAAATGACCTAAAACTGTTATCCTTAACCTGAGGGCCTTCCTTTAACTCCACTTACAACTTTCCAAGGGACGTTGTGTATATATTTACTATATGTGTTTATCAGTGTTAGTGTATTGGTCCCCCACCACCACCACCCTAGGGAGATACTCTGTAATTTCATGGCATTAAGAAGAATGTACCTGCCCCAAAGACATTTAGACCCATTGGTCTAGAATTGAAGACTGTGTACCTTGACCACAGTTATTGTTCAGGATGGTGGAAATGGTTAAGTAATTATACCACATTCATTTCATGGAATACTCTGCAGCTACAAAGAAGTAACTTTAGTTATAGCCATAAGAAAGAAGAATGCACCTGACATAATATTAAACACTACTAATAGTTATTAACAACAGTAAATGAAGGAAATCCTTCGATTGCCTAGAAATTCCATTGAATGAGATTTTTGTAAATACCTTATCCAACATGACATTTTAATATATTATTTAGGATTATTCATGAGTCCTTCAGAAGAGAGGAGCCTGGCCACATTTATTGAGCACATGTTTGTACCATAGTCTCTTGTGTTTTGCACACACTCCTTAATTTATTCTTACGTTAGTCTGTTTCAGTTGCTATAACAAAGTACCATAGACTGGTGGCTGAAACAACAAACATTTATTGCTCACAGTTCTGGAGGCTGAAAGTCTGAGAAGAGCGTGGTCAAGTTCTGTTGAGGGCCCTCTTCCAGGTTGGAGACCTTCACCATCTTGCTGTGTCCTCTCATGGAGGAAAGAGATGCGAGCTCTCTGGGGTCTTTTTCATAAGGCACTAATTCCATTCCTGAGGGTTCCACCCTCATGACCTAATCACCTCCCAGAGGCCCCACCTCCTAATAGTATCGCATTGAGGGATAGGATTTTAATGTAAGAATTTGGCGGGGAGGGGACAAAATGCTCAGTTAATTAAGATGCCTACAGAGGCAATTTAGCTACATTATTGTGTTGAGGGTCTGATTGTATTACTGAAACCGAGTGAAAGCATGTTTTAGAACAGGAAGGTTGTACCTGTTTCAGTGACACTTTTTTCAATACTAAGCCTTATATCAGTTTATTTTTCCTGCTTTAACAAATTACCACAGATTTACTAATACAACACAGATATATTATCTTGCTATCCTAGAGGTCAGAAGTCCGAAGTGGGTCTCACTGGGCCAAAACCAAGATGGTGGCAGGGATCTAGGAGGTGTTTGTGCTTGGAGGCTCTAGGAGATAGTCTTTTTTTATTTTTATTTTTTTTAATTGAGATGGAGTCTTGCTCTGTTGCCCATGCTGGAGTGCAGTGGCACAATCTTGGCTCACTGCAACCTCCACCTCCCAGATTCAAGTGATTCTCCCACCTCAACCTCCCGAGTAGCTGGGATTACAGGGTACGCGCCACTATCCGCAGCTAATTTTTGTATTTTTAGTAGAAACGGGGTTTCTCCATGTTGATCAGGCTGGTCTTGAACTCCTGACCTCAGGTGATTCATTAGCCCACCTCAGCCTCCCAAAGTGTTGGGATTACAGGCGTGAGCCACCACCAAGCCCGCCCTGTAGGAGGTGTTTTATGTCCTTGCTTTTGCTGGCTTCTAGACGCTGCCCACACTCCTTGGCTCATGACCCCTTCTTCCATCATGAAAGCTGCAAAGACACGTCAAGTCCATTTTCCATCACATTACTCTGACCCTACTTCTTTCTGTTCATCTGACCCTCTTCTAATTTTGAGGACCCTGGTGATTACATTAGGCCCACTGAGGTAACTCAGGATAATCTTCACTATCTTAGTGTCAGCCCATTAGCAGTTTTAGTCCATCTGCAACATTGATTCCCCTTTGCCATGTAAGGTAATATAATCATAGGTGCCAGCATTACCAGATTGACATATTTGAGAGGCAGTGATTTTGCCTCTCATAGGCCAATCCATTCAGAGTTTCCTTCATGACAACAATGTACTAGCTCCCCCATAACCATAGTCCTTTTTTTTTTTAATGTGGTATAATCATAATCATGTCCTTTTTTTTTTTTTTTTTTTTTTTTTGAGATGGAGCTTCGCTCTGCCCAGGCTGGAGTGCAGTGGCATGATCTCGGCTCACCGTAACCTCTGCCTCCTGGGTTCAAGCAATTCTCCTGCCTCAGCCTCCTGAGTAGCTGGGATTGCAGGCATGCGCCACCACACCCAGCTAATTTTGTATTTTTAGTAGAGACAGAGTTTCTTCATGTTGGTCAGGCTGATCTCGAGCTCCCGACCTCGGGTGCTCTGCCTGCCTTGGCCTCCCAAAATGCTGGGATTACAGGCGTGAGCCACCGGGACGCCTGGCCTACATTTCTTTTTTTATATGTTTTTCTTTTGTTTTGTTTTGTTTTTTCCTTATAGACAGGTTGTGTTCTGTTGCCCATGCTGGAGTGCGGGGGGTTGATAATAGTTCACAGCAGCCTCAATCTCCGGAGTTAAAGTGATCTTCCCACCTCGGCCTCTCAAGTCCTTGGGATTACAGGCACAAGCCACTGTACCCTGCTCCTATCTTGTTATATTTCTTATAATAGGATTAATGCAGGCCTGCTGGAGGCAAAAAAAAAAAAAAAAAGTCCCTAAGGAGCCCTTAAAGAAGAATCTCCAAATTACCTATAATTGTACCCTCCAGAGATAATCACTGATTAACATGTTAAATGGCCAGCACTTTGGGAGGCCAAAGCGGGATGATGATCACTTGAGGTCAGGAGTTTGAGACCAGCCTGGGCAACAGTGAGGCTCCATCTCTACTAAAACAAAAAATTGAAAAAAATTAGCCAGGCATGGTGGTGCATACCTATAGTTTTAGCTACTCAGAAGGCTGAGGTGGGAGGATCACTTGAACTTAGGGGTTCCAGGCTGCAGTGAGCCGTGATTATGCCACTGCACTCTAGCTTGGGTGACAAAGGGAGACAATGTCTCACAAAACAAAACAAAACAAAACAAAAAACAAAAAAAAAACATTTGAAACGGTATTTATGTTTCTAGTTCTCTCCTTTGCCTCTAAGCATGTGCGTGTTTTGTTTTTGGAGTATTGAATCTTGCTAATTAATCATAAGTGAGCCAAAGACTCCAAATCTTCATTTATAAAAGGAATCCAACCCAGCCATGAATCTCATTACACCCGTGTGTGTGTTGGGAGGGGAAGGGCTATGCCAGTGATCTTTGCCTTGGTTTGAAATATCTCTCACATATTTCTACCGTATAGGATTAGAAATACATCATCTGAATCTAACCTATGGCAACAACTGTTCAACAAAGACAGCCTTTTAGAATTAGATTACAGAATGTTAATGTTCCTTTCCCAGGACATCACAATAATCATTGATGAACACTAATCACGGGGTGCCTTGCAGATACGGACTTTTCATGTAACATTAGCAAGATTATTTGTACAAGTAACGAATATGGGCTGTATAAGTAACATTTCCAAGATAGAAAAAGAATTAGATGACAGTATCTCCTATGTATCTCCCTTATCCTGTGGAACACAAGATTCAGCTTCCTGCTGATGTTCTCAAATTGGCATCTTCTCAGATTAGAGTTGTTAAATTAGATGTTTTTTATGCAGAACAGTGTCTCTGTCCCCCAGCTGCTGATGGAACATTTCCTCTTTATATTTCTTAGAATCTCTTTTGCTAATGTATTCGTTTTGTTAAATGAAATGAGTTTCATTCATAACATCAGACTCTGAATGTTATTTTTGGTTAATATTGATTACGCAGACAGCGGGTTCAAGGAAGGCACTTTTGTTTTTTTTGAGATGGAGTTTCGCTCTTGTTGCCCAGGTTGGAGTGCAATGGCAAAAAAAAAAAAAAAAAAAAAAAAAGTCAATATTATTAGTATTCCTTGCCATCACATAGCAGACAATAATTTAATCTATACTGTGAGATATTTCTGTTTTTTCATTGCTGAAACAATAGTCTCTGGAAATCATAGATAAGATCAAGGATGGAATCTATGTCAGTATCCTGGCTGTGATACTGTACTGTAGTTTTGTTTTTTTCTTGTTTGTTTTTCTTTGTTTTTTGAGATGGAGTCTCTCTCTGTCACCCAGGCTGGAGTGCAGTGGCGCAATCTCAGCTCACTGCAACCTCCACCTCCCGGGTTCAAGCAATTCTCCTGCCTCAGCCTCCTGAGTAGCTGGGATTACAGGCTCCCAACACCATGGCCAGCTAATTTTTGTATTTTTAGTAGAGACAGGGTTTCACTATGTTGGCCAGGCTGGTCTCAAATTTGTGATCTGCCTACCTTGGCCTCCCAAAGTGCTGGGATTACAGGCATGAGCCACCGCACCTGGCCTGTGCTGTAGTTTTATAAGCTATCACTACTGGTGTAAGTCAGGTTAAGGGCATACCAGATCTGTCTCTATTATTATTTACAACTACATGTGAATCTACAGTTATCTCAGTTTTTTAGAAAAAGAAATAACTTTCCTAGAAAAACATTTTTCTTGATCACTCTGTCACATACATTTGTGTACTTCTGTTTTCTTGTCTTTCTAACTGTTTCCTCCTCCTGGACCCATAAATTCCAAATGTGGAATTTTGAGTCAAAATTAGATGTTTGTGAGGGGCCCGCACTATACCACACCCTGTGACGTTAGT